CACAGGACACCATATTCAGACTACAGGTGAGGTCCATGGCTGCATGGCAAGATGAGATCCTCAGTAGGGTTATTGGCACAGACTGTGGCATAGCTAGATATCTGCTACTGGTTCTTAGCATAGCCTGAGAGCTACTAGGTCTGAGGATCTGAAGGCCCTCGCAGATCCTGGCATGGCCGACCTGTTGCTCGTGGGCCTCTGCTCTGATGCTCAGGACCCTCAGTTGCCCTAGCTGCTGCCTGCAGAGCTGTGCTTGGGACCTCTGGCTCCCAGGTCACCCGCTGGCCTATGCTCTAGCACTCAGGCATGTAAGGATTTAGTATATAGAACGTCAAATATACTGATTTTATTCTCTCATGCTTCTGTTTCTTTGGCTGTATTTGCAAGCCTATTCATTCCTGTAGGCTAAAGCTTCTAAGTTTCGTCCCGTTTTTGTCTCTTATGACCTTTGTGGTTGTGGGTTGTATCCTCCCTTAGTTGATCACCAACATAAATGGGGGGGAAAATCAGGAAGTTAAGGAGTTGCACAGAAGATTTCAAGGGCAGTTTGGGAAGACAAAGGCAATTATTATAATGAAATGTGCAAAAAGCTGGAGTCAGAAATCAAAAGGGATGAACTCACTCAGTATTTCTTAAACTGAAGGAACTTAAGAACAAATTCAAGCTTAAGTTTCAATTCTTAAGGATGCTATGAGAAGAATATTGAATAATCCAGGAAGCATCCAAAAAAGATGGGAAAAGTACACAGAGTTACTGTACCAAAAAGAATTGACTGACACAGAAGAATTTCAAACAGCGTATGATCAAGAGACAATGGTGATAAAGAGGGATGTTCAAGCTGCCCTGAAGGAATTGACAAAAGCAAGGCTCCAGGAACTGATGGCATACAAGTTGACATGTTTCAGCAAACTGATGTGGCCCTGGACATGCTTACCAGGATTTGTCAGGAAAACTGGAGGGTAACTACCTGGTTAACTGACTGGGAGAGATCCATATTTACCCCCATACCAAAAGAAGGTTGATCTTACAGAGTATGGAAATTATTGAACAATATCATTAATATCACACACAAGTAAAATCTTGCAAAAGATTATGCAAAAACTATTGGAACAGTATATTCACATAGAAACTATCAGATATACAAACTAGGTTTAGAAGAGGCCGTGCAATTAGGGACATCATAGCCAGTGTCAGATGGTCTTTGCTGAAAGCAGAGTGTATCACAGATATGTCTATCTTTATTTCATTGACTATGCAAAGGCATTTGACCACGTGGATCATGTAAAATTGTAGCTAACTTTGAGAAGAGTGGGAATTACAGAACACTTGATTGTGTTCATGTGAAACCTGTACTCGGACCAGGAATCAGTGGTTGAAACAGAGCAAGAAAACACTGCATATTCATAATAAAGACAGAAGAACATCAGGGATCCATCCCATCTCCATACCTTTGCAATCTATATGTGGAACAGATACAATTTTCCTTAAGTAATATAAATTAGGAATAAGTGCATTATTCCAACTCTGCTTCAGTAGAGAATATTTTCTATGATTTTGATTCTTATACTGTCAGAAGATTAAGAGCCTTATGCCAAGGGAGTACATGGGAGCGTGTGTTTTAATATTGTTGCCTTAAATATGAGGATTTTAAAGATTTAAAATTAGAAGAGTTGAGCTGAAACAATACTTGAACAAGAAAAGAAGAAATTTGAGTTTTACTTGTAGATATGTTATGAAGTTATACTTTGAAACTTTATGAAGCCATTTTTTATTACAGCATTGAGTACATATTAAAAGCAAATATCAAAATTTTTGTCCATGAGAACATACTTGCATATGATACTAAGTATGAAAAACAGTTTACATATTTGATTGAGAAACCTGTTAGTATCATTGCATACATGTCTATACAACATGGGCTCCACTATTCTTCTACCTATTGCTTAAATTCATGGCCTAACCGCTATTTACCTTTATGTGTAAGAAAAGAGTTACTATAATGTGTAATTAAGCCAGAATAGTTCATAACTGATCCTCCAATGGGTTTTAGAGACTGAAAATTTCTTGGAAGGAGATGGCCCATCTTTCTCCTGTGGAGGTGGAAAATAGTATGCTACATTTAGAGATAATTTCTTCACTCCTCCAATTTACATTTCTAACAATAGGTATAGTATTTAGAAGATAAGTCATTTTTAGCTGTAGTCAACCCATTGTCACATAATTAATAATATCAGGCATTTTTTGCTATAGATTTACTGCAGGGTTATTATTGTTCCAACCATTGAGTTGGAACAGACTCATAGCTGACCTTTCAGCAGGTTGTCAGAGGCAGTAAATCAAACAGAAGGAGATTGCCAATCTTTCTCCTATGGAGCAGCTTGTGGTGGTACCTTTCAAACTGGCACCTTTGCTTACTGCGAGGAAAACAGTAAATAAGACTCAAACTATTTTTAAAAAATGTTTTATAACAGAAAGGTTACAATTGCTAATTTAAAAGAATAAAAATACATTTTTTTTTGTAATTTGAATGAAAGTTTACAAAGCTAATTGACTTTCCATTAAATCATTTATACACATTAGCTTGATAACATTAAGTACACTATAACGAAAACACAATATAACTACTTTCTTCCCACAATACATTCTACCTCTTCCTACATTTCTAGCCTTACTCATTGACAAATATTCTCATTCTGTTATTATGTGGTTGACTGACAGTCTGAGGAACAAGGGCCTCCCTGGTGTTTTTGCTCATTTAATAGGGTCGCTATGAGTTGCAGGTGACTCGACGGCACATAACAACAACAATAGATCTGTCACAGGGGTGAGTATTATTTCATATTCAAAGGGTGACTAAAGAAAAATAGTTTTCAGAGTTCCACCAATTTCTGTTAGATAAGAAAGTCTGGACATTTTTATGTTTTTGAGGGGTTTTGGCACATTTTTGACCAAGTCTATCCAGGACATTCTACTGTGGTCCCTTTGTGAGAAGTAAGCAGTGATTGTTGGGTACTGGCTATTACTGGTCCCAGTCTCATGGAAGTTTAAGTGTCTGTTAGCCTTGGGTTAAATGTTTCTATGCACCCTTGATTTTCTTCTTTTCCTTTGATGCAAAATATGACTGAGAGTTGCATGCTAGATAGTTGCTCACAAGCTTTTGCAACCCCAGTAGAATGTAGAACATTTTTTTTTTTGTGGCCTATGTTATGCCGGTTGATGTTGCAGTCTCCCAAGACCAAGATTCAAGATTCAAGGATTAGCAATTCATTCCCTCAGGGTGATGTGTTATGAGTAACTAGTTTTAAAGTTACAACTTTTAAATTCATGTGGGTTTTTTTTTTTTAACTTTTTCTTATTTGCTATATTTTCTTCTATTTCCTGAGAGTTTACTTTGGAAATGGAAAACTGTAGAACACCAAGGGTTTGAGCCTGATCTGAATGTCTAGTAACTACTAAAACAAAGACGATTTTTTTGTCTTGCAAATCGGCTTCCAAATATGTGGAAATTAAAAGGAGAAGTATTTGTAATGTGGTTCCAACTGTCAGTGTAACTAACTCTTCAGAGATTAAGAATGAATACTTAGTACGTTGTTGTGCTGTGGAGTCGGAACCAATCCATCGCTGACCTTCCAGAAGGTTTTCAGAGGCCGTTAATCACGTGGGAGAAGATTGCCCATCCTTCTCCCGCGGAGCAGCTGGTAGCCTCGAATGGCCTGCATTCGGGATTGCAGTGCAGCTTCTCGCCACTAGGCCACCAGCGCGCCCTACGTAGTGTGCAGACAAAATAACACTTCAAAGTGTTTATCAAGCAAGCCTTGAAACTTATCAGTAAGTTACTTCAGATGGCATAATGATCTTGCAGATGTTCTTAATTTAAAAATTTATTTGAGTAGGTCCTAAATAATCACAGGTATTCTTGGAAGAGGGAAGTAGGATCATGGGTGGTGCAATTAGAAAAGTAGATATGTGATCTGTTATCAAACTTCCTTTGACTGTTGAAATGTGTTCAGAGAAATATTGAAAGAAAGACCTGGTGATCTATTGCTGAACAGTCACAGTCATTGAAAACTCCATGTAGAACAGCTCTACTTGACACATAGTTCAAAATCATTCCATTGCTACAGATTTCTCTTTTTTTGGAGAAAGCATCAGTACTAAGGATGAAGTAACAACTGAAAAGAGGCGTGTAGACAGTAATTTTCACACAGACTTAGAAGAAAACATTTTGTTCTAAACTTTATGACTAAAACTATACAACTTTTGATTGTAAGGAAGCATCTAAAAGTTATGAGTGGGACATTTAGAGGCATACATAAAAAATTAGACAAATAATTGGTTTTGTTTATTTAAGTCAAGATTGTTGTTGTTATATGTGGTCGAATTGCCAGTGGCTCATTGTGATCCTATGTACAATAGCTCTGAACTCTGACCTATCCTGAGGCAATTTCATCATCTCCGACAGACTTAATCCCATTTCTCCAGTCACTGAGTCAATCCATCTCATCCTGGATCTTCCTTTCCTGTGCTTACCCTCCGCCCTTCAAAGCATGATGTCCTTCTCCAAGGACTGGTCCCTCCTGGCCACATGCCCAAGTATGTGAGACAGAGGTGTAAAATCCTTGCCTCCAGGAAGCAGCTTGGTTTCACTCTCTCCAGGACAGACTTGTTTGTTCTTCTGCTGGCCGTCCTAGATTACATTCAATACCTTACTGTAAGATTTATCTAAACAAGAAAAAAAAAAAAGAGCGGTCAAGTTAACTAAAAGATAACATAATGAATCAGCTTCCTCCATCTTTGCTTCAATCCTTTGCACAGAAAATCTATTGCTCAGGTTTCGGAGAAGAGGGTTTTTTTCTGTGGCAGCTCACTAATCAGACAAACACACTTAGAGTGGAAGGATAGGAGGAAGTGCTTCACTGCTGACAGAATAGGAGGACCAGGGTGAGTCTGACTGTGTCTACAGCTCCTTCTCCTCCTGTGTAGAGCAAAGTGCTGCGTGAATGGCACGAAGAAAGAGAATAGAAATGTGCTGTATTCAGACAACTTCCAACCTGAGCCTGCTGCCGATTCTGAGTATCTTCTTAGTGACTGGTAAGTTTGACTTTGGGAGCTAACAGAGAACCACTGGGGAATAATTTGATCTTGGGTATTTCTTGGCTTCCTTGGCCTTTATTATGGGAGTGATGAGTCTGGAGCTGGGTCTTAGATAACGAATTTGGCTAGATAGGGAGTACAAATGAAACCAAAGAGGCTTAGGAAGAGATTACGTCTTAATGGAAGGCAAATTGCACGTAGTATAATAGTGGCAAATAAGGTTGAGTTCCAATGGCCCATAATAGTAAAAAAAGAGGAGCCTGTGTATAGTGTAGTCTACAACATCTTTTGTTTTATGAGTATGAAAATAGTACAATAGTTTAGAAGTTTAACTTGACAAGAAATATCCTATTCTGTATAGTGGCACTTAGGAAAAGATGTGAAGCAAGAATTAAGAGCACTGTATATGTTAGGAAACTACCACTTAGAGGTACACTGAGAGGTTGGGAGGGGATGATATCTAGGAAGAAAATTCCTATCAACAATGGAAAATACAGCACAATCCAGATTTGTGAATCAGTCATGGAGTAGATGATCCCACTAAGAGAGGTGGTGGTTGTTGTTTACCATTGAGTCGGAACCAACTCATAGCTGACCCTCTCGTGGGTTTTCAGAGGGTTAATCGCATGGGTGGAGATTGCCTATCCTCCTGCAGAGCAGCTGGTGGGCTTGAATTGCTTGCCTTCAGTCAGGATTGCAGCATAGCTTCTTGCCAGTAGGCCACCAGAGCTCCCTAGTAAGAGAGGAAACATGAAAAAAAATTTGGCATAAATACTAAAGATTTCTTTATCTGCATCACATCATGTGCCATCTACTTGGAACCCATTAAATAGCGATACTGAAGAAAGTTTTATAGGTTTTAAAAGGCACAGAAGGAGATTGCAGATTTTTCTCCTTAAGAGCACCTAGTGGATTGAAACTGTGTGTGTTTGGTTTAGCAGTGCAACTCTTTAACCACTTGTTGTTGTTGATGTGCTATTGAGTCACCTGCAACTCTTAGTGACCTTATGTACAACAGCTCTGAACTCTGCCCAATCTTGAGCCAGTTTCATTGGCTCTGACACACCTTATCCCATTGTCCCAGTTCTCAACACACTTAATCCCATTGCTTCAGTTACTGTATCACTACAGAGTCTGTTATGAAGAGTCTTCCTCTCCTGCGCTGTCTGTCCACCCTTCCAAGCATGATCTCTTTCTCTAATGACTGGTCCCTCCTTGCCATGTGCCCAAAGTATGTGAGGCAGAGCTTCAAAATCCTACCCTCCAAGGAGAAACTGGGTTTTACCCTCTTCAAGACAGACCTATTTGTTATCCTGGAGGTCCATGATATGCTCAATACTCTTCTCCAGCACCACAACTCAAAGTAATCAGATCTTCTTCTATTATCCTTAGTCATTGTCCAGCTCTCTGATGCATAACAAGTAATTCTGAAGACTATGACCTGCATCAGGTGCAATCTGTTTTTCAGACTGACATCATTTCTCTTCAGCACTCTGGAGAGGCCCTTGACAGCTGACTTCTCCAATGCAATCTGTCTTTTGATTTCTTGACTGCTGATGCCAAGAGTCACTTGTAGAGCTAAGCAAGCCAAAATTGTTAACAACCTCAATCTCTTCCACCCATCATGGGGCTGACAATTGGCCCAGTGGTGAGGGTCTTTGTTTTTTTGATGTTGAGGTTCAATCCATACTTAAGACTACAATCCTTGACCCTCTCCAGCAAATGCTTCATGTCCTCCTCAGTTTCAGCAAGCAAGGTTATATCATCTGCATAACACAGTTTGTTGACGAGTCTTCCTCCAGTCCTGAAGCCACACTCCTCCTCATAAAGTCAAGCCTCCTGATTAATCTGTTCCACATATAGATTCAGTTGGTTATAGCTTGAAGAGTTTTGAAATTTGAAAGTTTGAAACACCAGAACAAAGAAAAACAATTTTATTCCTTAGTCTTGTTAAGTATAAAGATATTTTTCTAGCGTTAATGTGTACTTATTATGTTCTACTTTTTAATTGAAAATTCATTGAAAGTTGAGTAACAATAAAAATGCCAAGTAGCAAAGATCATAATAAGTAGTAAGAGTGACCTCTGTAGTTAGTTCAGTGCCAACATCGGTGCCCCACATTGTTTAGAGAAATGTCAACATAAATGTCAAAATAATATAATTTCACACCAGTATATTTGGAACTATATGATCATCATAATAAAGAATAACCATATTTTTTAGTCTGCAATTGCTCTCCAAAATAGTTTTATCAGTATGAATTTCCTCTTTTCCAGACTGTTACTTGTTATCATTGTTGTTATGTGTTGCTGAGTTGCCTGTGACTCATAGCGACCCTATGTACAATAGCCCTAAACTCTGCTCTATCCTTTACTAATCTTATTGTCTCTGACACACCTACTGGCATAACCCCAATCACTGAATCAATCCATCTCATTGAGTGTCTTCCTTTCCTGAGCTGTTCCTCCACCCTCACTCTCCAAGGACTGGTCCTGCCTTGCAACATGTAGGAAGCTTCAGAATCCTTACTTCCAAGGAGCAGCCTCGCTTCACCCTTTCCAGGATGAACCTTTTTGTTTTCCTAGCAGTCCCTGGTATACTCAATACTCTTATTAAGCACCACAGTTCAAAACCATCAATTCTCCTTCTGTCATCCCTCATCATTGTCTAGCTTTCTGATGCACAGCAAGGAATAATATGTTGCCTTGATCAACTGATAAATAAATACTAATGCAGAAAAATATAGCCTTGTTGTTTATCATCCTGATATAGTAGAAATAATATATCTTACTGATAAATTTACCACTAAAACATGGTACAATCCAAAATCTAATTTGGTTATTAAGAATTACTAAACTAGCATTTTAATTGTTGTTGTTGTTGTTGTTATGTGCTACTGACTTGCAATTGACTCACAGCTGACATTCCAGTGGGTTTTTAGAGGCTGTAAATAGCACAAGAGGAGATTATCAATCTTTCTCCTGTAGTATTTTAGTTGCTGTTGTTGTTGTTGATTACCATCAAGTCAAGCACAACTCATAGCGACCCCAGAACAAAAGGCCTGAAGGTTTTTTATAACTATTTTTATTTATCAAAGTTCATAAAGTTTCCAGAGGCATGTTATTTAAGAAGCGGATGCCACTCCTGCTTCCAAAACTGTCTTAAACTGGGAGCTCCACCAGACACTGTCCACCATGAGTAACCATTATGGCATTTGACACCCCAATGGCACAAGGTTCAGCATCACAACAACGCCAGGCTACCTCAGTACAGCATGGTAATAGAAGAGTGCTGTACCACTTAGAAGAATGTTACTCCAAAAATATAATAACAGCCTACTGTTAAATACAGAGGCCCTCCCCAAGGTCTCATTGACTGTAAACAAAAGGCTTAAATAAAAACCAGCCAATATAGTTTGTTATTGTTATATGCTATTGAGTTGCCTGTGACATAAAGCAACCCTATGTACAGCAGCTCTGAACCCTTGCCTGTCCTGAGCCAGTCTCACTAATTCAAACACAAATATCTGAAATGCTTATCTGTAAGTTTACTTACCAGTAGAGAACTGGAGAGCTTAATATTATGACAATATAGAACCTGTTTAGTATCACAATAGCAGGAAGACAAGCTGCTGCTTCTGAAAGCCCTTTCTCATCACTGCAGGAAGGCATTCTAGAGTGTGAGTTTGCATAGTCATGTCTGTGCCTAGTCTGTTGGGTGGGTGGTGAATGCTGACTCAGAAATCTGACAGTGAGCATTTGAGGAAGGAAATTTGTGATGTTCAAAGTAAGAGGTTTCAGTAGTAATTTTAGTAGTAAAATTATGAAACAGTCTTACTTATACTGATAATGCTGCCTTACAGAAAAGAATTCTATTTTTAAAAATTAATTTTAGAGTCATAGTTTTTTTGTTTGTATTTTGTTCTGTATTTATTAGGGTGCTTATATATTCTAAAACACTGATGTTTTTAGTACTAGCTTAATTGCCACTTCTTATTGTGGGCAAATAATAACTTACATTTAAGGGCATGTTGCAAGGAGAGACAGATCCTTGGAGAGGGACATCATACTTGGGAGGGTGGAGGGTTGGCGCAAGAGGGGAAGACCCTCTAGGAGGTGGATTGATTCAGTGACTGGGATAATCGTGATGGGTGTGTCAGAGGCAGTGCAATTGGCACAGGATAGAGTAGAGTTTAGGGCTGTTGTACATAAGGTCGCTATGAGTCGCAAATGACTCAATGGCACATAACAACAACAACAAACATCTTTCAAGACTGATTTGTTTTTTTGGTAGTCCATGATATAGACATGACATTTTGCCAATTCCACAATTCAAAGACATCAGTTATCCTTCAGTCTTCCTTACTAATTTTCCACTCTCACCTGCCTATGAAATGAATGGTGTGGTTCAGATGATAGTCTTTACACTGACAATATTGCTCTTTAACACTTTAGAAAGGTCCCCAACAACATATTTCTTCAATGTCATATAACTTTTGATTTCTTACCTGCTGTTCCATGAGTATTACTTACAGATACAAGTAAATTAAATTCTTGGCAACTTCAGTCTTTTCTCTCTTTGTCGTGACCTTGTTGCCTCTTTGTTCAGGTGTGAAGATATTTGCTTTCTTGCTGTTGAGATATAACCTATTCCAAAGGCTCTATTATTTGATCTTCTTCACTAAGTTCTTCAAGTCTTCACTTGAAGCAGAGTTGTCTTACACACTTATCATGAATTGTTAATAAGTTTTTCCCCAATTCTGATGCCACATTCGTCTTTAAATAGTTCAGTTTCTCAAATTATTTGCTTGACATGCAGGATGAATTGTTATTGTTGTTGATTGCCCTCAAGTCGAGCACAACTCACAGTGACCCTATAAACAAAAGGCCTGAAGCCCCTCTACAGCTATCGACATTAATCAAAGTTCATAGAGTTTCTGGAGGCATATTGTTTAGGAATTTGATGCCACCCCTGCTTCCAAATATGTATAATTAAATAATACAACCCTCACCCATCTCTTGATTCTAAACCCATTTTTCTGTTTGAATGACTGTTTCTTGTTTCATATACTGGTTTCTCATGAGCAATTGTTGTTGAGTATGACCTACAGTGACCCTATGAAAGCAGATATTAACCATGCCATTTCCTGTGCCAGCCTCACAATTTCTGACACACTCAAACCTATTGAAACAGTTACTGTGTCAATTCATCTGGTTGAGGGTTTTCTGCTCTTTCATTGACCTTCCACTTTTCCAAACATGATGTCCCTCTCCAAAGAATAGACTCTCGTAGCAACATGCTCAAAGTATGTGAGATGAAGTTTCATCATCTTTGCCTCCAAGGAACATTCTGGCTGCATCTTCTCAAAGGCACATTTGTTTGTTCTTTTGGCAATTCATGGGATACTCAGGATGCTTTTCTAACACCACAGCTCAAAGGTATAAATTCTTCTGGTATTGTCACTCATTCATTATCCAGATCTCAGATGCCTATCAAGTGATTGAAAAGATTATCATCTGAATTGTGTGCACCTTAGTCCTAAAAGTGATGTCACTGCTCATCACTAATTTGGAAAGGTCCCTGGCTGCAGGCTTACCCAGGGCAATATGTCTCCTGATTTCCTAAGTACTGGGACTAAGGGTATTGATTGTAGATTCAAATATGATTAAATTGTTGACAATTTCAATCATTTCTCCACATATCATGATATTGCCTATTGGTCTGGTGATGAGAATTTTTGTTTTCTTGATGTTGAGGTGCAATTCATGTTGAAGGCTGTATTTTGTATTCTTCTCAATGTTATCTATAGATCTTATGCAAGTCAAATATGCATACTGGACCAACCCATGTAGTTGTGGATGGGATGGAGGTAGATTTATCATGCACAAGATTGTTGACAAAACAATTTTTCTCATAAATAGAAAACAAAGGCACCATCTAAAACATTTGAAAATAGGAACACCATTTGATCCAACTATTCCATTACTGAGAATAAATTGTTTTTAGGTGCCATCAAATGGAATATGATTCATAGTAACCCTATGAACAAAAGATCTGAACCCTGTTCTATCCTGGGCCATCCTCATACTTCCTGACGCACAAGAGTCCATTGTAGCAGTCACCGTGTCAATCCACCTGGTTGAGGGTCTTCCTCTCCATCACCGACTCTCCACCCTTTCCAGGATCATGTCCTTCTCAAGGAATAACTCCTTCTAGCAACATGCCCAAAATATGTGAGGTAAAGTCTCATCATTGCTACCTCCAAAGAACACTCCAGCTTCACCCTCTCCAAGACATATCTGTTTGTTCTCTTGGCTGTCCATGGAATGTTCAGTGCCCTTCTTCAACACTACTGCTCAAAAGCACCAATTATTTTTCAGTCATTCTTTTTTATTGTACAACTCTCAGATGCATAGCAAGTAATTGGAAATACAATGGCCTGAAACAGATGCACCTTAGTCATCAAACTGATATCACTACTCCTCAATAATTTGGAGAGGTCCCTAATGCAGATTTTCCCAGTACAATGTGTTAATAGTGGATCCAAGCAAAATGAAACTATGGACAGTTTCAATCTCCCCTCCATATATCATGATGCTGCCTATTGGTCCAGTGGTAAGAATCTTTGTTTTCTTGATATAGAGATTCAATCCATACTGAAGGCTGCATTCCTTGATCTTCTACAACAAATGCTTCAAGTCCTTCTCACTTTCAGAAAGCAAGGTTGTGTCATCTGCATAATTCAGGTTGTTGAGTCTTCCTCCAATCCTGATGCTACACTCCTCTCCACAGAGTCCAGATTCTTGTATAATTTGTTCAGCATACAGATTGAATAGGTATATAAAGAGAAAACAAGCAAGAATATACCCTAAAGAAATCAGGACTGTGATACAAACAGATGCATGAACAATCATGTTCACTGCAGCATTATTTACAATAGCAAAGTGATGGAGACAGATAGGTAGAGAAATTGCACTACATTGACACTATGAAATATTATGAAGCATTGAAAAGGGATGAAGAACTCATGAAATGCTATACATCATGGATGATTGTAGAGAACTTTATGTAGTGAAATAATTCAATAACCAAGAGACAAACACTTTGTAATACCATTGCTTTAAAATAGGATGGTTATGGGGGCAAGGGCAGGATGTAGATGACAGAGGGAACAGAAAAAGAATGGATAGATAATACTGCATTGGAATTGATAAGGGGAAGGTCAATCTAAAATTGATGGATGATTATGTATATGTTAACTAACCATCTGGGACAGAATAGACATTACAAATCAGGGAAGGGAGAATGTGGATGAATTAGTAAATGAAAAATGCTTTTCTTTGTATACTCTATTCAAATTACAATAAAAAATAATTTTTTTTAAAAAAGAAAACCCCAAAATATTTACATACTTTTTCCTCTAACCACAACACAGATTTAATTTCTGTTTTCTAAAGAATTTTTGTGGAATCTTAGTTTAAGTTAACAGATTTTTCTATTTTGTTTTATTGAGAAACAGTGAATACTACTATATTTTAGTGCACACACTTGTTTTCATTTATTCTTCTCTGAATATTTTCTAGATTCAGCAATGAGCTTAATTTTGGGTGGAGTACAGCCACAGCGTGAGAGTGATGAAATTTTTGATCCAGGTAACGTAATTCCTTATTTAGGCCTTCTGTATACTCATTAGCTTAAGCTCTAGTCTGAGGAGAAAACTTAGTGCTCATTTGAAGGATACAATTATCTAAGTTCTGAGTGTGGGCATCCTAAATTACTCACTTCTCTAAAGTAGTTAAATGATATTTGATGGTTTACAGGACTTTCTCTATCTGGCCCTGTGTTATATTTTATGGGGAGCACAAAGATAAACAGTTCAGTCTGTTGGTGGAAGCTAGTCATGAAAATAAAGAAATGAAAATTTTTCTATTAGACACAAATGCAAACATACATATAACAAGGTTGTAAATGATTAATAGATTAATGAAATGAGACTGAATTATTTATACAACGGGTTGCTGTTTATGTGAAAGGTGGCCTAATTTTTCTAAAAAAATTAGTAATTGAATAAATGATATTGGAATAATTAACTTCCATAATACATACACAAGGTGAGTGTGTGCTGCAAATGGAAGGGAAAATGACAAAACCACAAGAAGTTAAACTTGAAGCAGAAATTAAAGAGAAAAAACTTCTTCAGAAACATCTGAAATAAGGTTTCCCTAACATTAGAGCTCTATATTTGGACTTACAGGCCCCTAAACTCAAGGGACACTGATTAACGCATAAGAAATCTGCAATATCTTGAAGAATTTGGAATTACAGAAGCCCACAAAGCTTGAAATTTAAGCGATCAGATCAAGGGCTGTATAGCAGGAGATAGGTGTTGAAGGGAGTAGGTGGGAGTAGAAGGGAATACTGGTGGAGCAGGGAAAAGGGTGGGTCAAGAGACTCGTGTCAAGGGCAGGGATAAAACTAAAACTACCGGCTATTTCTATAATTGAGAAAGACCTTTAATTTGCATTGTTCTGTAAAATGCTTGTCTGTCAGATACTTTTCTAAATCTGAGCATACAGATTAAGACAGACTAGGGAGAAGGATTGGCCATACCCTTCTGAAATAGCAAACCTTCGAAAACCCTGTGTACAATACAACACACTTAAACTAGCAGATAGGGCAAGAGATGTGGAACTTTCAAGTATGGAAATACTAAGGCGAAGGAACAGTTGTAAGTAGAAACTAGTGGTAGGAGCATAGAATGTGAGAACTATGAATGTAGGAAAATTAGATATTGTTAAGGAAGAAATAGAACACATAAATATTGGCATACTAGGTATTGACGAGATGAGATGGACCGGCATGGGACATTGTGAATCAGATGATCATATGATCTATTATGCTGGAGATGAAAAGCTGAAGAAAAACGGGGTTGCTTTCATAGATAAAACAAATCATTTCTAGATATGTCTTAAAGTACAATATTGTGAGTGACAGGATAATATCCATACACATACAAGGAAGGCCAGTGTATATCACTATTATTCAAATATATGCACCAACAACCAGAGCCAAAGAAGAGGAAATAGATGATTTCTACCAACTTTTGCAGTCAGAGACCGATCAAACATGCAACCAAGATGCATTAATAGTGATGAGTGACTGGAATGTGAAAGTTGGGAACAGAGAAGAAGAATCAGTAGTTGAAAAACATGGGCTTGGTGAAAGAAATGAAGCTGGAAATAGAATAATAGAATTTTGCACAATCAACAATTTAACATAAACACGAGCTATACGCATTGATCTCACCTGATGGTATGCATAGAAATCAGATAGGTTACAACTGTGAAAAGAACTGTTGGAGAAGCTCAGTATCAGCTGTGAAAACTAGGCCTGGTGCTGATTGTGGAACAGATCACCAACTACTTAAATGCAAGTTTAAGCTGAAGCTAAAGAAAGTGAAATCAAGCCCACAGGAAATAAAATATGACCTTAAGTCTATCCTACCTGAATTTCAGAACCACCTCAGGAACAGGTTTGAGGCCTTAAACACTAATAAGCGAAGACCAGTTGAGTTATGGGAGGATATCAAGAATATCATCCAGGAAGAGTGGAAAAGGTCATTGCAAAGATGAAGGTGGAAGAAAAGACCAAAATGAATGTCAGAAGAGACTCTGAATATTGCACTGGAGTGTCAAAAAGCCAAAGCAGAAGAAAGAAATCAAGAAACTAAGGAACTGAAGACGAGATCTCAAAAGGCTGTGTAACAAGACAAAGTAAAGTATTATAATGAAATGTGCAAAGGGCTGGAGTCAGAAAATCAAAGGGGCCAAGCTCGCTCAGTATTTCATAAGCTCAAGGAACTGAAGAGGAAATTCAAGCCTCAAGTTGCAATAGTTAAGGATGCTTTGGGCAGAATATTGAGTGATCCTGCAAGTATTAGAAGAAGATGGAAAGAGTATACAGTCATTATACCACAAGAAATTGACGGACACAGAAAAATTTAATGAAACAATATATGAGCAAGAGCATATGATGATAAAGGAAGAAGTTGGGACTGCTTTGAAAGAATTGGCTAAGAATAAGGCCCCAGGAACTGATGGTATACTAAGTGACATATTTCAACTAACAGATGCTGCCCTGCATGTGCTCACCCAGCAGTACCAAGAAACCTGGAGAATAACCACTTAGCCAATTGACTAGAATAGATCTATATTTGTTCCCATTCCAAAGAAAGATGGACCCACAGAGTGTGGACATTAATGAACTATATCATTAATATCCCATGCAAACAAGATTTTGCTGAATATTATCCAAAAATGACTGGAATAACACACCAACAAAGAACTACCAGAAGTGCAGGCTGGGTTTAGACAAGGCTGTGGTACTAGGAATATTGCAGCTAACATTAGATGGATCTTGGCTTAAAGCAAGGAGTGCCAGAAGAATGTGTATCTTTGTTTCATTCATTAGGCAAAGGTATTTGACTGTGTGGATCATAACAAACTGTGGCTGACTCTGAGAAGAATGGGAATCCCAGAACACTTAATGGTGCTGATGCAAAACCTATATTTGGACCAGGAGACAGTCATGAGAACAGAGCAAGGAAACACTGCATGATTCAAAATTGTGAAGGGTGTACACTAGGGCTGTATCCTGTCTCCATACCTTTTCAATCTTTATGCAGAACTGGTTATCTGGGATGCTGGTCTCTGAGAAGAAATGTGGCATCAGATTTGGAGGAAGAATCATCAACAATCTGCGTTATGCAGATGACACAATCCTGCTTGCTGAAACTGAGGAGGACCTAAAGGACTTGCTTGAAAGCTCAGAGACTGCAGTCTTCAGTATGGATTGAAACTCAATATCAAGAAAACCAAGATTCTCACCACTGCGCCGATTGTCAGCATCATAATGGATGGTGAGGAGATTGAGATTTTTCACAGTTTGGGTTTTCTTGGCTCCACAGTCAATACTCTTGGGACCAGCAGCTGGGAAATTAAAAGATATTTTGATGGGAAAGTCTCTAAAGTGCTGAAGTGCAAATATGTAAGTCTGAAAACTAAGGTGAGCTTGGCACAGGCCATGGTCTTTGCACGCACTCACTATACATTAGAGAACTGTACAATGACTAGGGATGATAGAAGGAGAATTGATTCCTTTGAGCTGTGGTGTTGGAGAAGAGTATTGACTATACCATGGGCTGCTAGGAAAACAAACAGATTTGTCCTGGAGAGGGTGAAACTAGGCTGCTCCTTGGAGGCAAGAATTCGTCTGACATACTTTGGACATGTTGCAAGCAGGGACCAGTGTTTGGAGAAAGACGTCATGTTTAGGAGACTGGAGGGACAGCACAGGAGAGTAACCTTCAGTGAGATGGATTGATTCAGTGACTGGGGTAATGGGGGCAGGTGTGTCAGAGATGGTGAGATTGGCAAAGGATAGGGCAGAGTTTAGGGTTGTTGTTTAGGGCAGGGGTGGGAAGACAAAGTCTAAGAAAGATGGAATAAGAGGGACAGAGAAAGAAATAAAAAAGATGGCAGAATAACTAAAAATAGATTCCAGGAGGATTAAACAGAAAAAAAAATATATAAAACCCAAAACTTTGAATATACTAGAGAAAATATTGAAGAATCTTTTAATCACTTCAGTGTAGAAAGACTCCTATAGCAAGTTACAACGCATAGAATTTAAGAAAATAATAGAAAGGTTTTACTAGTCAAAACTATTGTTGTTGTATGTACTGGAGAGTCCTTTGTGACTCATAGCGACGCTATGTACAACAGCCATTAACCCTGCTCTATCCTGTGTCAACTTTATTGTCTCTGACACACCTACTTCTATTACCCCAGCCACTGAATCAATCTATCTCATCAAGGTTTTACTAGTCAAAACTAGGAGGCTTTAATTTAGGTTCCCCAGTAGTACAGTTTTCAAATTACTTAATGAGTATCTACTTTTAAAACATTGTATTGTTGTCATGTGCTGTCGAATCACTTGCAACTCATAGCGACCCTATTAGAAGAGAAAAATGCAAAATAGGGCAAGAAACATAGGGAGCTCTGGTGGCCTAATGGCAAGAAGTAATCCTGAAGGCACACATTGGAAGCCACCAATTGCTCTGTGGGAGGATGGGCTATCTCCTCCCATGTGAATAACTTTTCAGCTTCTGAAAATCCACCAGAGGATCAGCTATGGGTGAGTTCCTACTCTGTGTTTCACAGCAACAACAACCAACAGGGCAAGAAAAGAAAGTTAAGCAAGGAAGTTGTCTCAGTTGGGATATAGTTTCAGCTGCTCCCACTGGGAGCTCTTGAATAGGCACTAGCTGTTCAACTTTTCTGCAAAGTGTTTACCTCTTTGCACCAGTGTCTCCCTCACCTGCTCTGGATGAGGAGGGGAGAAGGGTGTGTTCTCTCAGGCGAAGCAAATCTAGTTTATCTGAAGAAAAATAACCTTAGAAGGGAAAACATTAAGAGCATTTAGCCTGCATCACTATCAGCAGTGAAAAGTTAAGTGCACTTTCTTGGTAAAGAGTATCTGGAAAGGGTGCACCACAATACAGTCGAGTTTATGTACCATTCAAATTCATTTGGGTGTTGCTTCTTTTGAAATTGACAAAAGAAGCAGCTATAATTTAGAAGAGCTCTTTTGT